GGGGGGGGGGGGGGGGGGGGGGGCGGTGATCGAGGCTCTTTGCATCATCCCATATCCTCCCTTCATTTTTTTTTCTTTGGGGGGGGGGGGGGGAGTGAACTTTAAGGTCACTCTACATGATAGAAAAAACAGATTTTAAATATCATAAACTATTTTCTTAATTGTAATGGGTTTCATCAGTATAGTTATTGTTCAATACTGTAAAGACAGTGTAGGACACGGGCGAGCTGATGTGGATAGCGAATTTTTGGAATCATTGGAATTTTTATTTCAAAATAATTATAGCGCAAATTCCCTCACAGTCATCGTCCTTTCATTAAAACTAACGGTGTAGCGTTTTGGGAAAATAAACCTTGAATTTCTGGTACACCTGCCCTCGCTTTCTATCAGCACAAATAGTGAAGATATAGCAATTCTGATACAGAAAGAGAAAAAGATTTGCGAGCGAGCGAGCAAGCCAAAATAATGAAGTTTTTTTCACAGAAATGTTTTTTCTTCTTTTTCATCCAGCATAATTCTATTGTCAAGGAGGGGTGTACAAATTGGCGATTATGGAGGAGGATTATTGTTTACTTTCCTTCATAAGACACAAAGTGTAATATACATGTTGGTCGCCTTTCTATCGCAATGGATTACCATCTTTATCAGAAAGGAACTTGGATTATGATAATAATCGAGAACATACTTTGTGAGCAAGCGAGTGATCTGGAATTTTTTTTTAACTTCGTCATAGAACGCTTGTTTTTATATCCAGAGATATTTTTTATTCATATATAGATTGACTTTTTGAAATAGTGATAAATGTCTGGAATATACTGTTACAATGAAGATCCTGGTGATAAATACAATGAAAATAAATAGTGCTTGAATGAAATAATTATAACTAGAGATGATATATTCCTTTCCCGTAACTAAGATATTACCTTTAAATAAACTGATTTGAAGTACGGTGTTAAACCTAGTGTTGGTGCTTAATTTCCCGTACAACACCTCTTAACTAAAACTTGAAGTCACACATTCTTTCACTACACAAGTCCACAACAAACGGGTGCAAACACACTTAAACACATGCCTGTTGTGGAAGGTTATTATACTACTATACTACTGATCAATGGTCGAAGGGGTCCTCCAAGCAATTTTACACAACAATTCCTCTTTTAATTCCTCTTTTAAGAGAAAACTCTTAATAAGAGCGGCCTCTTGCTCGAACTCGTACTCGCACTCAGCATCCATGGTGGTATACAGTATAGTACTACGGTACACATGCAATTGCAATCGCACGCAGCCTAGCCAGCATGCATGCATGCAGCAAGCGGAGACCGTATACCACTCATAAAAACGATACCTTCAGAATGGAACGATAGCTGCAAAACGGAACACTATCTGCCAGCCACTCTGCGTGGTGGGTTACAATATCTGCCGGCAGATTTTGTGACGGGAACAATATCTGCCGGTGTCATAGGCGATTTGTTCCGTGCAGGCGATCGGTTCCTCCGGAACCGATCGCCTGGATATGTACCCGCCGATTTGTTCCGGATTCGTAGATTCGTTCCGCTAGTCACAGGCGATCGGTTCCGGCCAGGCGATTCATTCCGTGGAACCAATCGGCGGGATATTTAGCCGCCGATCCGTTCCGAATCTCATCGGAGAGTGTGCGTGCTCACGTATTATTGAATACACGCCATGGTACACCCCTAAAGCAAAATGAACTATTCTGGTCGGCCTTTGCAACCAATCAAACTTCTCCAAATTAGCTACACCAACGATTGCCAATTTGAGAACTTTGTATAGAAATGCAGATTCCCGTTGTTCAAATATGTTGATAATTGCGGCCAATGATTGACCACAAACAGTAACTATATATAGACAGCGCCGTCGCGAAGCGACGGGGACTGGGTGGTCTAGCAAAAAGGGCAGTTGTTGCCATAGGCTTAGTTTGCCTGTAAAAGCAGATGTCGGGGTGTTTTCTAATCAGGCCTTCTAATTTGGTTTGAATGCTGCTTTATATGATATCGTGTTACGTCAACCACCTATTACCGGGCTTCATCACAGAATCTAATTATGCATGTGGGCTGCATGCATGATGTACATGTAGTTTAAATGAAAGAGATGCGGGGTGGGGTGGGGGGGGGCCGGGGTCAACACAAAAAGAAATGAGTGGTCGAGCTGATAATTAAGAAGGACCAATAAAAAAAAAAAGAAGAAGAAAAGAAGAGAAAGAAAATTCCTCAAGTAAAAGACGTGTCCGGCAGAATAAAAAAAAAAGCGCGGGTAATTCCGTACGAGGTTATAAACCTTATTATTAAGTAATATTTCAAAAAAATAATATTGGTTTTCATTCCAACAATAAATACAAAAGTATCAAGATAAAGCTAAAATTTATTTTTACCATGTTTATTCGACACAAGTAATAAACATATACGCGATTATATAAGCAGAAACGTTCGGCCAATGTCGGATAAGAACGGCGGCTTTCGAACGTATCTGCGAACGAGTCGATCCAGTAGATTCGTTCCGCGGAACAAATCGGCGCGCCGATTCGTTCCGCGGAACCCGGAACAAATCGCCTACCACACCGGCGGATTTTGTTCCGCGAACACGATCCGCCAGTCACACTAAACGCCGTCACACCGGAACCGATCACCTGTGACTAGCGGAACGAATCTACGAATCCGGAACAAATCGGCGGGTACATATCCAGGCGATCGGTTCCGGAGGAACCGATCGCCTGCACGGAACAAATCGCCTATGACACCGGCGCGATTTTCAAATTTTCGGGAGCAAAATATTTTAAACCCCCCCCCCCCCCCTGAAATCCTGCATACGCCCCTGGTGGGAACTATCACTCCCAAGGTGGTGTTCACACCGGCCCTTCTATCATCCCCGACCTGAGATCGAAAGATAGTACTTGTCTATACCTTTTTCGTGCTCTGTACAATCGCAATGCAAACAACTATACATGAGGGATATAATAGCGTATAGCTACACGGCCCCCTGGAGCGGTGGCCGCCAGCGACTTTGCGTTTTACACCCTGGCCTGGACATTTTCCCGGTAAATAGCAATGAAACTGCTTGAATGAGTCTAGTCTACGCTCCTCGATCGGGCGCGCCAGTTCCAAATCGAATCGTACATGCACAGACGTACGTCGATGCAGCATTTATACACACCGTACGCAGCTGCAATACTGAAGATTAAGGGAGAAGATATAGGATTTCAAGTTCAGAACAACAAGTTAAGAAGCTTGCTGCACGATGGAATTCATCGAGGATGATGACGGAGTGGCAATGCAGACGCCTTTGCGGGTATGAATACTGTAAATCCAGTTTTGAATTGTAGTTATATGAGTACGATTAACTGTAACTGTTAGGCATCCATAGTTAGCAAAACTAAGAGTAAGACAAAGTGAGTCGCTGCACAGTGTCACATTGTCACTGTCACTGTCAGTACTGTCTGTCAGTCAACATTAACAACAGCAATGTCAATTTTCTTATAGTCATTTCTTGCATCTAAATCTTAACACACTGTCAAATTATCTGTTCAAATTTCTACTATTGTTTGCTTTCACTTTTACTACATATTTCTTCTTTATATAACTATTTATGCATACACATACTCCTGTATCTTTTGTATTACTTCTCTGACATTGAAGGATTAGATTACCTTCACCAAAAAAAAAAGTATATGAATGTAAAGCAGTAAATAAAGTGCAAATGAATTCGTGTAAAACTGGTGTATAATTTCCTTTATATGTTATGTGTCTGTACATTACACTAGACAAAGTGATGAATGGAAAAAGAGAGAAAGAGAGGTCTTATAAACAAATATCATGAATTTAAAATGAGAAAGAGAGAAAGGGAGAGAGAGACAGAGGTCTTAGAAACAAATATGAATTCAAGAAGTGAGAAAGAGAGGGGGTCTTAGAAACAAATATCATGAATTGAGAGCTAGAGAGAGAGAGGTCTTCGAAACAAATATCAAGAAATGAGAAAGAGAGGGGGGGGTCTTAGAAACAAATATGAAGAGAGAGAGAGAGGCCTTAGAAACAAATATGAAGAGGGGGTTAATGAGAGAGAAAGAAAGAGGGGTCTGAGAAATACATACGAGAGAGAGCTGGGTCGAGAGAGAGAGGTCTTAGAAAACAAATATGAATAGAGATGGGGGGGGGGGGGGCGGGGAGAAATGGGTCTTAGAAAACAAATATGAATGAGAGATGAGGGGGGGGGGGAGGTCTTAGAAAACAAATATGAAGGGAGAGGGGTCAAGAGAATTAGAGAAATTAGGTCTTAGAAACAAATGACATGAATTTAAAAAATGAAAGACGTGATCCCACAATTAATAGAAAATGGTACGAGTGCAATATTTAAATCACAGTTTATGTATTACATTACCATTACACATATTATGTCGAGTGTAGTCTGTGTATGTGTCGATATGTGTACACGTGTGTTAGGGGGGGGGGGGGTCCGAATCAGCAAATGGTTTGAAAGTAGGCTACACGTCAAAAATTGAAACCCTGAAGAAGGCGGAATTAAACCACAAAAACCATAATATTATTTGGTTTCTCTCTTTCCTTACTTTGATTAATTCCTTCTCTAATTTCTCTCTTTCTTTCAAGTTAGTTTTTGTTTTCTCTCTCTGCTTATGACATTCTTTGTTTCCTCTCTGTTCTTTAATTATTTATTGTTTTTCTCTATTTCCTTCTGTTGTTATTCTTTGTTTTTTCTCTCACTCGTACGTCTCGATACAAAAGTACATGTACCGCGTACCGCGACACTGGACATTATAGGACGTACGTTGAGCATTGCAGAAGAGCTACGTGCGCGCGCGCAATATCTTGTCATGGATAGACTTTTCCCAGTCGGTTCCTTGAAATTTATTGGGAAAAGGTCCAGGCCAGGGTGTAAAACGCAAAGTCGCTGGCCGCCATGCATTACTAAAGGAGGGCAGAAAAACGAACGACCCAACAAGATACTGTGCACAACATACAAGTGTAGACCCTACGTGGAAAAATTTGGAGAAGCCAGGTTCGTGCGTTGCATTTGGATGTTCGAACCGAAGAAAGAAAGGGAACTGCATAATATTTCACAAGTAAGTTCTTCTTAATGTTATGTTGATTAATAAGGAGATTTTAGAGCTAGAAATGTAGTTTATGCAGTGACTGTAGTCTGTACCCGGGTTGTCTCATGACAAGCCACCGCAGCTCCTGCAGCAGCGGAGCGCGCCAGTCCACGTACGCCCGCCGGGCTGGGGCAGGCATGGGTTAAGGTTCTGGGGACGGTGATGGGAAAAACTGTGCGCCATCTACACGTTCGTAATGGCGTTATCACAGTTTTTCCTTCATAATCATTTTGCCTTCGGCGTAGACTAGAAGGGATGAGATTGACGGCAGCGAGAGTTTAACACGGCTTGCAAGATTTTCAACATGGATGTCGATTTTGACCCATAATTTCCTTAAAAGGGACCATTAAACGGATTATTTCAATCAAGTTAGTATTGGAACCGATGTACTATAGCCTAGGCCTAATTGAAATTTGGATATGCACGAGGTAAAATGACATTTTGGGGGATTTTGGGGGCATAACAATACGGCCGTGGCAAGTTTGTCATGTTTGTGGGAGGGGCCTAACGGCTAAAATCTAGCCGTGATATCATATCTTCAACGTGTGGTGGTATAGGCAGTCGTTCAGTCTGTATAACCGAGGTCTAGTGTAGCCTTAAGGGCTCTCTCGAAATGTTTTTTTAATGATATTATTCGAGAGAGCCTTAAACGGCTCCCATACCCCTGCACGGAGAGGCATATGATGTAAACAAAACTCAAAAGTGGTCCAAAATCACACTTTCGCGCACCCGACCAATATTGGACAGTGGCTTTGATAATTTTGTCGTAGTTTTGGTCTTAATTAGCGCTTTAATTTCAAAATCGGATCTAAAAATAACAAAATAAGAGCAATTTTCTTACCAGACCAATACAGCTCAGCTCCCTTTTCACGTGTACCGTGTGAATTCACGATGTCTACACAATGGTGATGACCTCTGACTGGCACTTCCGTAATTGTGGGTAAATTGTGCTGCTTCCGTATAATGCGCTGTATGAGTGTTATTCAGCGCATTATACGGAAGCAGCACATTTACGAAGTGCTAGTCAGAGGTCATCACCATTGTGTAGACATCGTGAATTCACACGGTACACGTGAAAAGGGAGCTGAGCTGTATCGGTCTGGTAAGAAAATTGCTCTTATTTTGTTATTTTTAGATCCGATTTTGAAATTAAAGCGCTAATTAAGACCAAAACTACGACAAAATTTATCAAAGCCACTGTCCAATATTGGTCGGGTGCGCGAAAGTGTGATTTTGGACCACTTTTGAGTTTTGTTTACATGCCTCTCCGTGCAGGGGTATGGGAGCCGTTTAAGGCTCTCTCGAATAATATCATTAAAAAAACATTTCGAGAGAGCCCTTAAGGCTAGTCTAGTGGAGCCAGACGTAGTCTCAGTGGAACAACCGACGATTATAGAGATTGAAGCTTTCGGTCTAAAGCCAGGCTAGCTAGCCTGCCATATTTCACATCACAGGAGTTATCCAACTAGGCTAGGCTAGCCTAAAAATCCCACCGCACACTAGTACACTATTTCTATCAAATTTGATTATTATGACTTGCTGACATCACTATTATTTTATTTATTTGGCTGGAAGCTGCTTTCAGTTTCAGTCTTAAAAATCACATGAAATAGCATGAATAGTAGAACAATTGTCATGTTATGAGAAAAAACTCATTATTGTTTCCATTTGCTTTTATTGTAATGCAGGAATACACCCAAGAGAGGAAAGGATGTTACACACCACATCTCCTTCCTAGTAGAGCTGTGCCTACTGTCTTTCCTGGACATCCTCCCTATAAACAGACCCATGGCTCAAAACTCCCAGCAAAACCATGTACATGTACAACATCCGAAAGTGTTCCCGTGCCTCCAAAGAAACCCTATGACATTACAAAAGAACATGACTATTCTTTTTCTGTCTGAGTTGATTAGAAACTGAATATAACCAGACAGCAAGTGCAGGATGCCAAGAAACAGCTTAAAGTGGTGAAACAAGGTAAACAGGAGAGATGGAAAAACCAGGACTCTCTTGCAGGAAGTCCACGAAAGCAAGCTCATTAGCCAGGATCAGCTTGACCTACTTCAAAACAACTTTGGAGAGAACGCATTTTCAGGAAAAAAAAAAAAACATAGAACTTCATTCCTACAAACTACAAAGACAGATCGGTCTTTTATATTTTGCCTCTTGTCTGCATAGCTTATCCACTGGATGATTGACTGTGAAGCCGGTTAAAACTGGAGAGAGCTTTCAATAATCTTTTAAAAAAACAGAACAATCTGAGACTTTTGTTCTGTGTAATGAAATTAAATTCTTGGGACACATTGTGACAGTTGCACAACCTAACCATAATTTTCTGTTTGTTAACTTTACACGAAGGCAAACTAAAGTGGAACTTAGAAGAGTTGATTACATTAGGGGTTAAACAAAATGTACTTGAATTTTGAGTTTTTGTGAGGTACACTGTATTTGAATATTTACTCTATAAGCTTCATAATTGTCTACCTGAGGAACTGTATATTTTATGCGCACGCAGCATATACTAGTACCATACTAAATTTAGGAAAAGCAAGGTTGACGCATTCTCGATTGCCTTAAAATGATGTCACACGTTGCAGTCAAAGCTGTCGACGTGCAAATCTAAAAGTCCCTATTACCTCAGTAACACGAACGAGACCGACAATAACAAGACAACAGACTGAACAAATATCACATTGGGCTGAATGGCTAAGAGTCGGTCGGTGTGGAGTCGGTGTGTCAGTCTCTCAAATGGGAGAAAGTCTCCCTAATCGGCCGTATGCCTCTACTGATTATAACCTTGTACATTAGATGAGAGGCCTGTGTATAATACACACACGCTGTGTTTGAACGACAGGGGTCTGTTTTTCTGATTTTTTTTTTTTTAAGGTATAGACCAGTTTGGGAAATGCCCCCCTCTCAAAAAATAAAATGGAAGCTCATATTACCAATCATGTGAAAGAATATGTTTTGACTAAAACATGATGATATAAAAATTACTGGGAAACCGCCTACCAATTGATATATCTCGTAAATTATCATATCGATCCGGCCTGGATAGATATCGCAAATGCACTTCAACATTGAACATTTGGGCATATATTTCTGCTTTTTTGCGAATTTAGGTTGAAGTATTGCCATCTAAACCTCTGAAGGCAATATTTTAACAATATTGAATAGATATTTTGCACCCAAAACCCTTGAACCGCAGTTTTAACGCTACCAGTCTATACCTTTAATTAAACTTTAACCCTTAGAGCCTGTTGGGAGCCCAAACATTTTATGGCAAAATTTCACTTACCGTAAATTGTATCATAATTTGAAAGAGAATGTCATTTCAGACACACTTCTGCAAAGATTCCCCCCTTTAGAGGGGCTTTGAAAGGCTGGATTATTTAGCCCTCCCCTCTAATCTCGGCAGTGAAGCCACAATTTTGTTTTTGAAATTTGGCATGTGAATAGAGTAACTCATTAAAAATGTATGATGTGTGAACATTTCTTTGGATAAACCAACATGGATTTCGAGTGCCTCCCCTCCCCCACTTTCGTCTAGGGTTACAGCTTATAACATCTCTAACTTGTAAGTTTCATTCCTATGACAGTAGGCTTATACAACTTTAATGTAATTTATGAGAATTACAAAAGTATTTGCAGGAAAACTGCAATTTTGAAATGATAAGCCTTTACATTATGATGATGTTATCATACCTAACATCAATTATATGAACATACAATAATTTCTGATATGTATAATGCAAACTAAACCGGTATGTCATAGAGCTGTCAATATGTGTTTGATCAATGGCAACTCTGAAACCCTTAACATTGTTAATAAGTGAATACACTTCTTGATTTTCCTCAGACTGGATGTCACTGACCTGCTTCTCTTGTTTGTAATACATTGTAGGCTTCTGTTTAAGTCAACTTGATGCCAAACTGGAATTTCCCATTTAACAACAAATCGAATCAGGCAAAATAAGATTAGGACAGTCACCGCATCTTCTTGCTTGACAAGTGCTCTTGCTGCCATAAAGGATAGATTTTACCACTGTCTGTCAACCTGAATTCTATTTCTATCCTCCATGCAGGTTATCTTGTAGATATCAAAGATGGATGGCTGACGATCCAGCTACGAAGCCTAAAGAGCAGGCCAAGGTATGTGAATGGAACCAGAATACCACCTGTTTTATCTCAGCTCGCTTGGTTTAGGTCAAAGAAGTAACCCAGGAGTGACTATACAACTTTTCAAGTTTGAAAAGCATCTGAAAATGTTCATTCCTATGTAGTGCGAATTCAAATAAATTCATAGATTTCGGAGGAGTTTAGAGTTCGGAACATTATAATTTGTGAGGAAATGAACTTTATGTTATGCTGAACTTGCAGTTTTCATGTGTACCTTTCTGGACGTAGATATTTAAACCCTACTATGTACTTAATTTGTAATAAAGTTGGAAGGACGTAACATATTATAATGTAAATATGCTTTAATTTCTTTTCAGTTGATGGAACAAAAAGAAGGAAAGGGATCTGACGATTCACCTACAGAACTGTCCTCCCCATTCAAGGTTTGTGTGAATGAAATTTTCAATTCCATTTCCTACTTTAGTTCCACGTTTATACCCAACAGGACCTTTTTCTATAAGAACAGCCAAAATGGTATTTCGTTGTCACAAATATGGTAACAAAAATCTTATTAACTTCATTCAAGTAGCTGTGGTAGCTATAAATTAAAAACAAAAAGACTCTGGGTAATCCGCCTAGTATGAGAAATCAGTCTTCCCCATTACAAAAAATGATCTCCTCTCCATCTTTTTAAAAGTTTATTTTTGTTAAGGTTCATAATTCCAAAACACAATGTTCCAATACCTAAAACATCTCCTGGGGGAAACTCAGCAGAAAGTTGGAGAAAGGTCTGATGATTCAACTACAAAACTGGCTGGCCCATCCAAGGTTTGTGTGCTTGAGATTTTCAATTCCATTTCTTACTTTGGGTCCAAGTTTATACCTAAAATGACCTTTTACTATATAAACAGGCAAGATTTCTAGTTGCCATACATATGGTAAAAATGCATATCACCTTCAGTTAAATAGCTGTGAAAGCTATATAATAACAAGGCAAAAAGCTTGTGTAATCTGCCTTGTCAGAAAAATAAGTCTTTCCAATGGATAACAATGATCTCTGTGTGTACTTAGATACCAGGCACAATGTTTAGATATATGATCGTATAGGGGTTACTTGTCTTTCAAAAGGTTTTTTTTTATCTGACAGTTTATATATTTCCAAGAACACAAATTTCCATACATGTACCTTTAATATCCCCTTCGGGGAAACAACTCCAGAACAACCCTCTTTTGGGTCACAATGTCCTGTTGGGATCACATGTTTGATAAAGGCTCTTGAATTAGGCTACTACAGAATGCAGGGTCTATATGCATAACTTGTAGCCATTGAACACTGTTGCCAAGTCCATGTGTTCTGTAATGCTAAAGAAGATTTATTTCTTTGTGATTTCCCATGTCCAAACTAAGGCATATTAAAAGTTTAAAACACCTCAAAAGAAGAAAAATTTGATTTTGCTTTTTTATTCAATGTTTTGTCCCCTCTTTCCACGTTACTCAGTCCTCGCATAACAGTGTAGTAGGGTTTAACCGAAATTGGATGAAAGCTCTCTATGAATGTCATGAACTCCCCCCCCCCCCCCCCTCCAGTTTGCAGCGATTTAAGATTTCAGCTTGATATTTTACTGCTGTTATGTCAGTGTTCATATGCTTCTTGATAACACTCAAGCCCTTTAGCATTTTCATAGTTTATTACAATGTTCTTTATTCAATAAATCTCATATAATGGGTAGATCAGAGCCCATTTCATAAAACTGATTTTGAATAACAATTGCCAAAATGCTATGACAAATCTTGTCACAGCTAATTAAATGTGCATTGCTTTTAGTATCTTTAGTTGTCTAGCTTTTGGACAAGTAGCTTAAACTAGTCAGTTATACATAAATTTGTACTATAAAACTGCAGGAAATGTCTGACCTAAAGACACCCTCAAAGCCTGGACATGAATGGTATGAAAATACTCAGGACTGATTAATTGAACTACATTTTCAGAACAGAATCGTTGGTGGAAAATATGTGATATTAGATCTATTACTTGCAGTGCCAAGATTCACTTTCTGAGGAGAAAATCATACAAAACTCTCATTCTACTGGTTGAGGAACTACTTGAATGAAGAAGAGGAATTCAATTTTTTTTTAAAGAAAAGAATAATGGAGTTGCTGCTACAAAAAGCCTGAGTGAATAAAGTTGGAAGGAAGATTCATTTTAATGTAAATATGCTTTAATTTCTTTTCAGTCGATGGAGGAGAAAGGAGAAACAGATCTGGTGACTCAACTGCAAAACTGGCTGGCCCATCCAAGGTTTGTGTGCTTGAGATTTTCAATTCCATTTCTTACTTCGGGTCCAAGCTTATACCCAACATGACCTTTTACTATGTGAACAGGCAAGGTAATTCATTGCCGTAATTATGTTAAAAGAAATGCCTACCACCTTCAATTAATTAGCTTTGAAAGTGATACAATAAGAAGGCAACAAGCTTGTGAAATCTGCCTTGTTATAGAAATCAGTCTTCCTTATTGAAAACAATGATCTCTTTTGGTACTTAGATACCAGGCGCAATGCTTTGATATATGATATTGAAGTTACTCATTTTTCTGAATATTTATTTTTCTGTTTGTTCATATATTTCAAAATACAAATTTCCCATACCTTTATTATCCAAGGGGGATAATTCAAAGGACCCTCTTTGGGGGTCATGCTATCCTCGTTGCATCACATGCTTTATAAATGATCTTGAATCCCTCTTCAACTCTTTGTCAAATGATCAATCCAGCCTACACAGAGTTGTCTCTTTACACATCTGCAGAAAACAGGGTTTGTATGCATAATTGTAGCCATCGATCATTGCTGCCAAGCTGGCCTCAATGTTTTGTTCTGTCCTCCCACCATTTTTAGCCGTTAAATCATGTCACTGGGTAATTAGTTAGGTATACACTTGGCTCCAACAGGGAAAGTGTTGCCTTTTCTAAAACATGGATTGAAACTTAAAGCAATGACGCCGACTGATTTTTTTTAATGAAATGTTTTTATAAATGTCTATATAAAATATAAAATTTGGGGTCACAGTGTCCTGTTTGGATCACATGCTTTATAAGTGCTCTTTATCATTACTCTACTCTTTCAGATGAGCGAGCTACGCCACATAGAGCCAGAAAGACGTAGGAGCTTTTTGAAGGTTTGTATGCATAACCTGTAGCCATTGAACACTGTTGCCAAGTCCATGTATTCTGTTATGCTAAAGAATATTTAATTCTTTGTAACTTCCCATGTCCGAACTAAGGCATATTAAAGTTTAAAACACGTCCAAAGAAGACCAATTTTGATTTGAATTCATATTCAATGCTTTGTACTCTCTTTCCACATTGTTTAGTTCTCACGTAACAGTGTAATATGGTACTGCCAACATTGGATGAAAGCTCTGTGTCGATGTCCTCTATACTTTATTCAATATGTGTACCAATTTTCATCTTCATATCGCTAACCATAGCCGAGATCTCTATGTCAATGTCAATGCCCCCCCCCCCCCCCCTACCTTGCAGCACTTTCAGATTTCAGTTTTATATTTCCTACTGTTATGTCAGTGTACACTATGTCACTTGATAACACTCAATGCTCTTTAGTATTTTGTAGAGTTTGTTACAATACTCTTATGTGCTTTATTCAATCAATCTTGTATAATGGGTAGACCAGGGCCTGTTTCATGGTGTTTTACAACTTACAACTGTTCAGTAGATATGCCTATGCTCTAGAAAGCATATTGGCGATGATCTTGTCCATTCCTTTAATATGAGTCACTCTTAGTCCATGGGGCTGGAGGAACAAGCTCAAACAAAACAGTCTCTGATTCTTGTTCCTGTATCGAAATGAAAATAAGGCTACCAAGCTTATTAATTACATTTTGTAAAGGTATAAACTCACATTTTAATATAACTAAGTCTATGCTTTAATATTTTTTCAGTCGATGGAGGAAAAGGGAGGAAAGAGGTCTGATGTTATAACTGCAAGACTGGTTTGTGTGCTTGAGATTTTCAATTCCACTTCTTACTTTGGGTCCAAGTTTATACCCAACATTATCTTTTACTATGTGAACAGGCAAGGTATTTCATTGCCGTAAGTATGTTAAAAGAAATGCCTATCACCTTTAATTAATTAGCTTTCAAAAATACACAATAAAAAGGCAACGAGTTTGTGTAATCTGCCTTGTCATAGAAATCAGTTTTCCTTATTGATTTAGCAATGATATCTTTTGGTACTTAGATACCTTAGATAACCTTTTCGTTTTTTTGGCCTGCAAAAGGGACATAGTACCTTTAATATCCAGGAGGGGGGAGGGGAATAATTCAAATGACCTTGTTTGGGGTCATATTGTCCTCTTTGGATCACATGCTTTATAAATGATCTTGAATCCCTCCTCAACTCTTTTTCAAATGATCAAGCCAGCCTACCTAGAGTTGTCTTTTTACACATCAGCAGAAAACAGGGTTTGTTTGCAAAATTGTAGCCATCGATCATTGCTGCCAAGCTGCCCTTGATGTTTTGTTCTGTCCTCCCACAGATTTTAGCCGTTTAATCACGTCACTGGGTAATTAGTTAGGTACACACTTGGCTCCAACAGGGAAAGTGTTGCCTTTTTTAAAACATGATTGAAACTTAAAACAATGACGTTGAATAAATTTTTTACATGAAATGTATTCATAAAATGCCTATATAGAAAATAAAATTTGGGGTCACAGTGTCTTGTTTGAATCACATGCTTTATAAATGCTCTTTATCCTTACCCAACTCTTTCAGATGAGCGAGCTACGCTACCAAGAGTTGGAATTACAAAGACGTAGGAGCTTGTTGGAGGTTTGTATGCATAAGCTATAGCCATTGAACACTGTTGCCAAGTCCATGTATTCTGCTATGCTAAAGAACATTTAATTCTTTGGAACTTCCCATGTCTGAACTAAGGCATATTAAAGTTTAAAACACGTCCAAAGAAGACCAAATTTGATTTGAATTTATATTCAATGCTTTGTACTCTCTTTCCACATTATTTAGTCCTATGTAACAGTGTAATAGGGTATTGCCAACATTGGATAAAGCTCTGTGTCAATGTTGTGTATACTTTATTCAATATGTGTACCAATTTTTAATCTTCATATCTCTAACCATAGCTGAGATCTCTGTGTCAATGTCAATGCCCCCCCCCTACCTTGCAGCACTTTCAGGTTTCACTTTTATATGATGACTATATGTCACTTGATAACACTCAAAGCTCTTTAGTATTTTGTAGAGTTTGTTACAATACCCTTATGTTCTTTATTCAGTAAATCTTGTATAATGGGTACATCAGGGCCCGTTTCATGGTGTTTTACAACTTACAACTGTTCAGTAGATATGCCTATGCTCTAGAAAGCGTATCGGCGATGTTGTTGTCCATTCCTTTAAAATGAGTCACTTTTAGTCCATAAGGTTGGAGGAATTACAAGCTCCAACAAAACAGTCCCTGATTCACTGGGAGTGTCGTGGTCGAGTGGTTCAAGGCGCATGACTTGCGATGCGAAGGTCGAGGGTTCGAATCCCGACACGGCACTAATATCCTTTGGCAAGATATTAACCTGCACTTGCTTCTCTCCACCCAGGTGTTGAATGGGTACCCCGTAGGGTGCGACCATCATTGTTGGTCAAACAGCTTTTGAGCGTCATGTAATGCCTGGCTGGAATGCTCCCCAGGAAGTGGAGATTGTGCACACAGTGTGTGCGGGCAAGCACTGAATCCCATGACCGGGTAATAGTATATTTGTAAAGCGCTTAGAGACATTTGTAATAAGCGCTATATACAAATTAAATATTATTATTATTATTATTATTATTATTATTATTATTATTATTATTGTTCCTGTATCGAAATGAAAAATAAGGCTACCAAGCTTATGAATTACATTTTGTGAATGTATAAACTCACATTTGAATATAACTAAGTCTATGCTATAATATTTTTTCAGTCGATGGAGGAGAAGGGAGGAAAGAGGTCTGGTGTTACAACTGCAAAACTGGCTGGCCCTTCCAAGGTTTGTGTGCTTCAGATTTTCCATTCCATTTCTTACTTTGGGTCCAAGCTTATACCAAAGAACAGGCAACGTATTTCATCGCCGTAAGTATGTTAAAAGAAATGCCAATCACCTTCAATTAATTAGCTTTGAAAGATATACGTTAAGAATGCAACAAGCTCGTGTAATCTGCCTTGTCATAGAAATCAGTCTTCCTTATTGAAAACAATGATCTCTTTTGTTACGTAGATACAAGGCGCAATGCTTTGATTTATGATTATATTGGAGTTACTAATTTTCATTTCTGAATATTTATTTTTCTGTTGGTTCATATATTCCAAAATACAAATTTCCCATACCTTTAATATCCAAGGGGGGGGGGGGAATAATTCAAACGACCCTCTTTGGGGGTCATACTACCCTCTTTAGATCACATGCTTTATAAATGATCTTAAATCCCTCCTCAACTCTTTTTCAAATGATCAAGCCAGCCTACCCAGAGTTGTCTCTTTACACATTTGCAGAAAACAGGGTTTGTATGCATGATTGTAGCCATCGATCATTGCTTCCAAGCTGCCCTCAATGTTTTGTTCTGTCCTCCAACCATTTTTAGCTGTTTAATCATGTCACTGGGTAATTAGGTACACACTTGGCTCTAACAGGGAAAGTGTTACCTTTTCTAAAACATGAATTGAAACTTAAAACAATGACGCCGACTGATTTTTGTAATGAAATGTATTCATAAAATGTCTATATAGAATATAAAATTTGGGGTCACAGTGGTGTCCTGTTTGAATCACATGCTTTATAAATGCTCTTTATCCTTACTCAACTCTTTCAGATCAGCGAGCCTGCCTACCTAGACTTGTCTTTACGAAGACGTAGGAGCTTGTTTGAGGTTTGTATGCATAACCTATATCCATTGCACACTGTTGCCAAGTCCCTGTATTCTGTTATGCTAAAGAAGATTTAATTCTTTGTAACTTCCCATGTCCGAACTAAGGCATATTAAAGTTTAAAACACGTCCAAAGAAGAACAAATTTGATTTGAATTAATATTCAATGCTTCGTACTCTCTTTTCACATTGTTTAGTTCTCACATAACAGTGTAATAGGGTATTGCCAATATTGGATGAAGAGTTGTGGAGGGATTCAAGATCATTTATACACACTTGGCTCTTCTTCTTCTTCTTATCGAGTCACTACACAAGTCCCGTCCAGTGGTCCACACAGGCTTAATTGGCACGGCAATTCACGGCTTCCAGGTCATCTTGGGTGCATGGCTCTGGCAGGAGTGGGCAGACTAACAGGTGTTCCATTGTCTGTTCCTGGCCGCATTCACATGCTGTTTGTCCGTCACCTAGACCCCACCTCTGCATTAGGACTCTGCATCGACCGTAGCCAGTTGTTAGGCGGTTGAGGCTAATGGCCCGGTCCCACTGGCCGATGGACACAAAACGTATGCATAAAGGACACAGCGGACGAGCAAAATTTCCGGGGTGGCTCCATCCGTTTTCATCCGCTCCAGAAATGGACAAAATTTGCGAAAATTTGCGAAAACAGAACGGAAAATAACGGGCGTGGGTAGTATGTAGCGGGGATATTAAACGGATGTTCATCGGAAGCCTAGCGGATAAACGCGGATGGAAAGGATGACAGCTTTGAATACTTTATATACGAGATGCATACGCTTACATCCTTTCTATTTCCGTGCTACTAACGATGTATAGACGTTCCATGTACCTTATCTTTCCTCCCTCTTTCCGTTTTCAGCTGCAGCGGATGTGAGTTGCGAGGATGCCCAGAGGATGCAAAGAGGATACAGCGGACGTTTAACGGATGATAACGGACATAGAACGTTTGTTGCTCGTATTTGTCGAGGATTTACATCGTACACGGCGGAAGTTCATCCGTTCTAAAAGTTTTGTGCAGCTCAAAACTTTTTGCACCGATGAAATCACAGTGGACGGATGCTCGATGGATAGAGCGTATAAAACACGTATGCAATGAGTACACAACGGATGCATAGCGTTTTCCAACGGATGGCAATATTTTTTTTACGTTTTACATCCTCTTTGCATCCGTAAGTGCAGTGGGACCGGGCCTTAAGCCAGGTAGGCCAAGTCTCACTGGAGCCGGTTGCGAGGGATTCCTTCGGGCTGAGGGAGAGTTTATGTGGAGTGGTCTGAAGGTGGTTAGACCACAAAGACCCCTGTTACACATACGTCTGAAAGTGGACTGAGGCCGGCCCCGGAGTCGGCTCGACGTATGTGTAACACCAACTTTTTTTCGAAAAGCCGGACTGAGGCCAGGTGGACTCAGTCCACCTCTGGATGTGGTTTGAGGCCGGCCTCAGTCCCGCAATCGGTATGTGTAACACTAAAGTGGACTCGGGCCGGCTTATAAGCGGAAGTGACGTAACCTGTATTCTTTGTTTTTATCATTCTATCACTCTCTCTTTCTGTCTTTCCTCATGTTATTCTTTGTTTTTATCATTCTATCACTTTCTCTTTCTGTCTTTCCTTATGTGAAATGTTTTTATCATTCTATCCTTTTTTCTTTCTGTCTTTCCTTATGTTATTCTTTGTTTTTATCATTCTATTGCTTTCTCTTTCTGTCTTTCCTTATGTTATTCTTTGTTTCTTTCCTTCTATAACCTTCTCTTTCTGTCTTTCCTTGTGTTATTCTTTGTTTCTTCCTTCTTTCATCTTCTCTTATGTTATTGTTTGTTTTTATCACCAATTCTCTTTCGGTCTTTCCTTATGTTATTCTTTGTTTCTTCCTTCCTTCATCTTCTCTTATGTTATTCTTTGTTTTTATCATTCTATCACTCTCTTTTTCTGTCTTTCCTTATGTTATTCTTTGTTTCTTCATTCTTTTATCTTCTTTCATGTTATTCTTTGTTTTTATCACACTTTCTCTTTTGGTCTTATGTTATTCTTTGTTTCTTCCTTCTTTCATCTTCTCTTATGTTATTCTTGGTTTTTATCATTCTATCACTCTCTTTTTCTGTCTTTCCTTATGTTGTTCTTTGTTTCTTCCTTCTTTCATCTTCTCTTATGTTATTCTTTGTTTTTATCATTCTATTACTCTCTTTTTCTGTCTTTCCTTATGTTATTCTTTGTTTTTATCATTCTATCACTTTCTCTTTCTGTCTTTCCTTATGTTATTCTTTGTTTCTTTCTTCTTTCATCTTCTCTTATGTTATTCTTTGTTGTTATCATTCTATCACTCTCTTTTTCTGTCTTTCCTTATCTTATTCTTTGTTTTTATCATTCTATCACTTTCTCTTTCTGTCTTTCCTTATGTTATTCTTTGTTTCTCCCTTCTATTACCTTCTCTTATGTTATCCTTTGTTTTTATCATTCTATCACTTTCTCTTTCTGTCTTTCTGGAGTCCGCCCCAACATCAGCTCGTGAAAAGGCGACGTGAGGCCGGCCTATGTGTAGACGCAAAATTGCGGGCCCGAGATCATGTGTAACAGGGGTTTGATGATCTCGAGGCGGCTTTAAATTGCCGGTGTGAGGCCGCCTCCGGGGCCCGCTTTAAAAGCCGACGCATGTGTAACAGGGGTCAAAGTCATCCTTTGATTGTGAGTGCTGGTATTAAGAGGCGCTACAGAGTGCAGAAAGCTGTGTTTGGATTTGAGCCGCTTGCTCACTGGCTGTTGTTCGAAGAGTGGGTGGAGTGGATTGGCTCTAACAGGGAAAGTGTTACCTTTTCTATAACATGAATTGAAACTTAAAACAATGAAGCCGACTGATTTTTTTTAATGAAAAGTATTCATAAAATGTCTATATAGAATAT